TACTCATCTTAACCCAGTGCTGTCCTAACCCAGAAGGGTAAATTTTGTATTCCAGCTTCCCACACACTGCAGTCCTGCACATTCTTATCTGTTGCACAATAATCATAGTAGTCATTTACTAGATCTCTCCCCCTCCCTATTAATTAGTTAATATTCTGTATTCATCTCTGAGTAATCCAAGGCTGTGATTTTCACCCTATCTGTTAGTCAGACACCTTGTGATCGACCATATTCTTCTGCCTTTGTGCCTTATGGGGCATGGAGGGAATCAGAGAAAGGGCGAACAGTAGAAGGGTGCACACGAATAACAGAATTCCTTTTTCTTTCTTCAGCTCTATGCAATAGGTGTACACATGCACAAAGATAATTCTTGGTGAAAATGAATATTTGTCTGTGGGAGTCAGAACTGAATCAGGATTGACACTGATTTCAATTGCAGATGCTGGCACAGAGTAAAATTATTTTTCAAACACAGAAGCATTCCCTGGTAAAGTATTTAAGGTTGCATTTTCAGGCTAGAAGGAAAAAGTGATGAAAAGTTCTTAAAACTGAAGAAACGAAATCCTTGATACTGATCCAAAGCCCTGCAAAACAAGATCCCATATGGTAATGCCAAATCTTAGGAGAACAGAGGGGGATAAAATGGGTACATTTTCCTTCATTTTCTCTCTTTTACTCCTTTGTTTTTTAAAATTGTATATAATATGTTATAGGAGGGTCCCTGCCAAAGATGTGTTTTCACCATCATTCACAAACAACACACATTCCCTACTTCATTCATTGTAGCTCTGTAGGGAAAGGGGCATATGGTAGGTAGCAGAAGGCCCCATATAGTACCAAGCAGAGCAGCACAAAGGTGTTAGTAAAACTTCTGAAAGCATCATACCCATATTTTCAGATGAGATCAGCAGTTCTTTTACTGTTACAAAGGTTCTCTGTGCTTGAGATAGTCCTTCTATCACTGTTTTTTAACACTGCACAACGCTGAGCAATAAATAGTAAGCAAAACCTAAGTATTTCTATCCAGTTCCAAAATATCTTTCTGTTATCTTAGTGTATGGGAGCAACCTTGTTGTCCTTGACCAGATTCATAATGTGTATAAAGCACCTATGATCTAAAGTGACTCTCCTCTGTCCTAGTGAAATGTAGCCAAGGAACAATCGTTGTTTGTACTGTTAAGGATCTAAAGGCAGTAAGTGAGAAAGAGTCCCTGTTTCCCTATGCAGGTTCTGTAGACTAAATGAGGCTTCTCAAGAAGCCTGTTGTCTGAATAAACCCTCAGAAATACTCCCTGTGTTTCCAATCTACTGCCACAGACCACCCTTCCACAGGTTTTACAAGCAAGAGTTGCTTTGGCAATGAGTTCAGTCCTTTCTCTTCCATAACCAAGTAGCTTTATGTCTGTAGGTAGAGACATTTGTTACTCATCTGTGGAAGAGTTTTTACAGTGGGGCTTGAAATACCTGTTAACATTCATCCTGGAAATTCAAGTCCTAAAATAAAAAGGGACCATAAAACACACTGTCAGCATATGTTATGCATAAAGGAAGCATTTCAAAGATGCACTGCAAATTCAAGTAATATATGCAAAAATTGCAGACAATTGTCGTGTACTTTTTACCCTATGTTAGCTGGCAATCTGTTTATGGTCATGTTCCAGTTGACATAATATAAGGTGATATATTTCAGTCCTAATGTAAATCAGTCATAATGTAGCTCAGTCATAATTCAGTCCTTAGTACTAGGTGATATAATTCATTCTATTGCTACACATTTCTCTAAGAAATGTTTGTATTTAGACCAATGGACGAGAAAACTTCAAAGTATCTTTTTATGAATCCTCAAATAATAACATCATACCCATTACCAGCTACAACGTGCAAATATTTCACACAGTTTTGGGAGAAATTTACATTCCATTTATAGCATTCAGTAATAGCTGGAAAAATAGTTATCAGTAGTTAAATCACTACTCACTACTCAATTATTAATTACTACTTCAGCCTTCTGATTACTTCAGTTCTAGATGAAGAGTAAAGGACATTATGTACAGACAAAGGCAGCAACTACCAAGTTAGTCTAGACCATGAAGAATCAAGCTCACTTACAGTACTATTGTGCTCTTTATATCTGTTGCACATTCCATGGAAACAACGAGGATGCATTACTTTCAGAATGACCTACATAGACCTTCCAGACTTTTCTCTGCCATCTGTTTTGCTCCTGCTTTTTACCTCTGTGAACAAGAAAACACCACTACTTCTTTAAAAGCTCTGCAGTTCCTAGTGAATAACTCATATCAGTTCATCCCACACACATCACCACAGATGTCATGTTTGAGCGCCTTGACTCTAACAAAGAAGGTATTCTCTTAAAGTGATAAATTACACGAGGGAGCCATATTTAGCTGACAAAGGAAAGAACAGTCTTTCCATGGTAGGCAGTAGTTGCATGGTTTTGGACTTTTTTTTCTATTATCTGTTTTATTTTGTCTAGTAAGTCAAGGGCTAGCTAACTATGGAAATGTGTTCAATAGATAGAGAGGTTTTTCTATGACCACCTAAAGCATTAACTATGGGAAGCAAATTCCTATATAACTTCCTACTGCAGTGTGTTTGTTTTTTGTTTTTGCTACGCATTGTGCATTATACAGTAAACCATGGGACTGAAGTATTATTTTACTAAAAAAAAAAAAAAGAATTAAAAATGAATTAACACTTCACCTTTTAGCTTTGTTTTGCTAGTAAATCAATTCAATTATAAATGAAATAAAACTCTAAACTTGCACACTTATTTAAATATATTCCCAGATTATAAAACCATTTAGGATCAGACTCCTCTCTGACACTGAATGGGGTTATAGTTTATATAAAATTATAATGAGCCATTAAAAATAACAGCTAATTTGTAACATATATACAAATACAGGTAAAACACATTAATTTAAGAGCATTAGTTTTACCATGTATCTTGAAGTAGAGCGCGTGTATATTCATTTAACATAACGTGAGTTTTTGGAAAATGGGAGTCAAATTTCACTTGATGTACGTCTGAAGCAAAATAGAGAAGAGGAGCTTTGTTGGAAGCATTCTGATCACTGTCTTACTACACATAACAGGAGCTATGGAGACTTCATAAACATTTCTTCATGGCTATGATAAAAGTTAGTGGCTCTCTGGCCTCTGTAAATGCAACCACCTGATATTTATGCTGACCAACACACTATAGTTCAGTTTTAACCATGGTATTATAAACACAAGGAGAGGTACCAGCTTGTTCGTTTATTTTTCCCCTTCTTGCCCTCTACATCACAGCACCATGCAAACACTTTATTACTTGAGGTAAGGTTGTATACCACTCCACAATATTCTTCTTTCTTGGAAAAATGCCCTTAAAGATGACATACAGACCCAAGCATCTGCTGCAGACACATAAAGCGTCTTCTTACTCAGAAAATGAAGGAGAGGGACTCAGATTTGTGCAGATTCCAATTATTGTGTTTGTTGAGGTGCTGAACGATTTCATCTGGCAATTCAGTTATGTGATTTCAACAATTCTGGAAGACTGCTAATTAGATTTTGAAGATCACAGAAAATCAAAGACAGGGTTCTCCAAAGTAATAGCCTCAAAAGCAAGCAGTCAGAACTAACTCTGTCAAAATTAAAAGGAATAGGAAATTGTGAGATACTGGTTTACAGGAGGCATGAGAAAGTCTGGTATTCTTGAAATTAAATAATAATTTAAAAAAATCTGCTGTCTGTGGAAGAAAATAAAAAAGCAATTTTCTTTCCCATCAGACAGCATAGAAACAGCATTGACTTCAGTGCCATAACATGATTATAACTGCAAGAAGGGAACACCAGGTCACAGATCATGCCATTCAAATCTAAGAGTAACTGTTTGCTGATGTCAGCAATTTTCACAAGATGACTAAAATAGCCCATTACTTAAGTGTTCAGCTGCTTGGATGATTTGGGATGGCTTTTTTTCCTTTTGGATGGAAGTCAGTTAGGGAGAATTGTGTTGGCTATTGTAAGCATAGCCTGTACTCTGTCTCGATGTTTGACCCTACATTCTTTCTTTTATATGAGATGGAATTCATTTTCCTTGGGCTATGATAAAATGAGAACACCATGGAAGTTTGTATCATTGGCAGAGGTTAAGGGTGGGCTGGAGTGGATGACCTAATTGGGCTTCTCCATCTCTATGTTCTCGCATGCTGCAAAGTTCTGTGATGAGCTGTTGCTTTAATTTTACAGGACCTTAGTGGCCAGCTTGTAAAATCTGGCTAGCAGAAACATAATATAACTTATTACATCGCTATGTCTGAGTTTGTTATTTGTTTGCTTAGAAAATAACGTTCTCAGCATATAAGTCAGAAGAAATAAAGGTAGTCTTCTTTAACACCTTGAAAATGAACCCATACAGATGAACCTCTGTGACTTCACAGGGGCTTCTTTTCCATGCATTTACCCATGCTGATAGGCTGATGGTTAAGGGTGTGACAGAGTGGAGACAGAAGGTCCTTGTAAGCTTAGGAAAAAAGTGCAATCTGTTTTTGGGTGGGATTTTTAAAATATGAAATAATTATTTTATAATAACTTTCTTTTAATATCATAAAATTAGATTTCACGAAAGATTTGCACTAGGGAAGCTTAGCTCTATAGTTTTCACATAACAAAAAGAAGCTGATTTGGAAGAATAAACTTAGGAAAAACCCTTATCAGTAACTTCAATTTCACTTGGGCCTTATCAAGTCCCCAAAATAACTAATGGTTCTTTCAGGCACTGGAGAGTTTCTTTGAAAGGAGTAGAGCAGCTAAGGAAAAGGCACATTCTCTTTACTTGCTGCAAATTACTCAGTTTTGAATTAGGACTGTTACCATAAGGAAATTCTTGCACTTCTGCTGCTACAAAAAAAATAAAGAAGCATTCTAGAGAATTGAAGAAATCATAGGGGGGGAAATACACATAAATAATAAAATTCTCTCCTACTCACCTCTCCAATTGAACCTGTCATACAATGACCTTGTTTGTATCCCAATACACAGACTGTGATAAATTGCTCAGAAGATCAAACTAATTAAGTAGCTGTTATCGTTAAGAATGTCTTCTAAAAATGAAAAATTAAGTTGTGTTTAGCACTCAGCACCTATACACCAAAGTACATAGTTCAGATGAGCTAATCTTTAAGAGTGGAGTAGAAATGAGCTAATGTTTTTAGGGAATTGTTAGCATGATATGGCAAGAGATCAATAACAACTTAAAAAGAAAACTCTCACCCTAAACTACTCAGCTGTGAGCAATAAAGAAGCACCAAATTGCAGAATGTGTTAACTATTTATTTTTTTTTTAAACTTATGCATATCATCCATTTTGTGCAGTATCATATGATAGGCTTCTATCCTGAAGCAGTGAAAGGGTGCTCAGTATGATAATATGTACCTTGACAACTTGTAGCAGATATACAAAAAAACAGACAAAGGCGTTACCTCTACATGATGATAAAAATACATTTGTTAAATTGAATAGGCTGAAAGCAAACATACAACCCACATGCTTGCTATGTATGTTCAGGTACACATACAGTACATGCACACACATGAATGCCAGTAACAGAACTTTGGTTTTAAAAGACACACAGTTGGCCTCAGGAGCTAAGAAACTAAATTTGTGAGCTGTTAAATGTCAGAACCGACCTCTGGGAGTTTGAGGAGGGATGATGTGGTGAAGGGCAGGCTTCAGGTCATGTTTTATACAAGAAGTTTAATTGTTCTGGCTAGGAAGCAAAAGTGACTCATTTACTTGAAGTGGGTCTCTATCTCCCAATGCAGATTTCGCATGGGGGAGGATACTGCTAGCAATAATATCTTTAAAAGAATTGGACTGGCTTACTCCAGTATTTTAACTACTTCCATTCAGATCCATTTGTTTTGGACACATAATTTGATAGTGTTCCAATGATAGCAAAAAAAGCACTGCTTTTATCACCCTTCTTGAACCCATGCAAGTCTTTTTGTTGTGTTTAAATCAGGTTGTTTTCTTTTTTGCCAAAGAAAATTGTAAGCTAGTGGGCCCTTTCTAAGCCTTCTATTGAGAAATGTAATAAACTATTTAACTGTATAAGTTGTAAAGTCATTATGACACTGGATTTGTAGTGTTGCTCTTTTCAGTTTCACTCCTGTCTCAGAAAATTCCTGCTGCAGATTAAGTATGTGCATTTTGAGCTATGACAAAAATACAGATAATGGATATATATCATTTCCTTAGCAGCATCCCATTTATTAATGAAGGGCTTTCAGTCATTTCAGTTTAGCCTGTCTGTACCCCATTTTGCCCACTTTCATTTATCAAGCTCTTATTTCTTGGTTGCCAGTCTGTTTTCAGCTTTTAAATACGTTCAGTTTCAATTTTATAAACTCCTGGTTTTGGTGACATTTGGTGTCAAATGCAAAACCCAATAAAGACTCTTACTCTACAAAATATATATTTTTTATTTACTTTTTAAATCTACTTATGATTAAAATAATATAAATAACCTATTTAAGAATCCTTGCTGATTCACATTGCTTTTGTATTTACAAATACACCATTACTGAAGTTGGTCAACTCACTGTCTCTGAGAATCTGATCATAAGCCACTGCAATTAAAGTGATTTGGTTACAAAGAACAGAAAAGGCCTAAGGAGCATAATGCCGTGCAAAGTGCTCTCTTCGTGCTAAGGAAGCAATACAGACTACATTTTCAAACCATAGCTAAGGCTTCATTTCAAACTACATAGAAAATCTTTTTGCTTCTACAGCAAACGTGACTTCTCTGAGAAATGATTGAAGCCAAACCTAAAAATACTTCAACTATAAACTGTGAATTTTAAATCATAGAAATGCAGTGTGGAAGGGAATTTCAAATGTCATCTGGTTATACCTCCTGCCTGAAGCAAAGTTACCAGCCTTCCACTGAGCAGAACCATTCCTCCTGCAGAGGTTGTAATACCACTCATATGGCTTCTTTGTTAATCTAAAGATATAAGCCTCAGAGTCAGTTGCTGGCATTCTTTTAATGAAGATGATTTGCAGGCTGCCTCCAGGCGTAAGTCCCATGACTGCTGGTGGCACAAGGTAAAATTCCTACTTCAGTAATGATACTGTGCCTGGCAAATATAATGTTGACTTAGTTAAAAACTGAGAGAATTCTCTGAAAATGAGATTTACTGATAAGTAAGATAAATAATAATATATAAATAGATGATATATGAATATACACTAAGAATTGGGCCAAGCTGCCCTGAAGTTTGGAAGGCTGACTTCCATAAAACAAATGCAACTGTTGGGCCTATGTGAACCTAATGAGATTCAGGAAAGAAAATCATAAGGTTGATGTAATCCCAGATACATATACAGCCTGGGAGAATAACTCCTTGAGAGCAGCACTACTAAGAAGGACTTGCATGTCCTCATTAATGAAAGACTTAACATGAGCCAGCAGCATGCACTACAGTTCAAAAAGCCAATGGCATCCTGTGCTGCATCAGAAGGGCAGCCAGCAGGGTGAAGGACATAATTGTCCCCCTCTACTCTGTCCTTGTGAGGCCACATGTGGAGTACTCCAAGTCTTATGCCCCCAACACAAGCACATCATCAGTATTTTGGAGAGAGTTCAGAAAAGAACTAAGAAAATGAGACAGAGCACCTCTCCTGCAAAGAAACACTGAAGGAGCTGGGATTGTTCAGTTTGGAGAAGAAAAAGCTCTAGGAAAACCTCATTACAGCCTTGCAATGTTTAAAGAGAGATTACCATAAGGAAGAAAATTAACTTTTTACACAGGTAGGTAGTGATGGGACAAGGGGGAATGGTTTTAAACTAAAGGAAGGAAGATATAGATTAGATGTTGCAATATGATAGAAAGCACAGCAATGACAGGAGAGCAGCAAGGGCCCAGGCTGCAGCAAGTGAAAACTTGCTCAAATACAACAGCTGGAGGCACAAAAATAAAGGAAAAAAGTTCCTTACCTTCAGAAAGCCTCAGGTATGCAGGGACCTCCAGCAAGATACCCTTACCTTCACGGTCCTCTTAAATGAGATCTGGAAAGGAATGGATCCTGGCTCCACCCCTTCATGTCACTCAGCTGCATTGCATGCACCTGAGCTCCCCTGGATTGGCCCGACCTTCCCACCAGCTCCTCAATAACTGGTTCAGACTGTGACAGCATTTCTGCTACAGATGTAGAGAAAGTTTTTCATGGAGAGGATGGTAAGCTGCTAGAACAGACTGCCTGGAGAGGTTGTGGATACCCCATTCTTGGAGCCTTGGAACCTTGAAGTTTCTTCCAACTGAAGCCATTCTATGATTCAGTGCTCTTATCAGCTTATTAAGGATATAATTGGAGGCAAATCACAAATATTTTATCTGCTTCCGCTGAAATTCAGCTATTGAAAAACATCTGAATATTGTTTTTTCTCTGAGTCCATGTATAGTATCAGCATTCTTTCATGTACCTGGAACCTAGACTAAGGGAAATTAAATATGCTATCAGTTAGAATAACATCTGCTCAGAAATTGTATGGAGATAAATATATGCCTTATATTAGTTCTTTTCTTATGACCCTACCTGCTGTGTTCTGTTTGTGCCTAAGAACCCAAAGCATTTCACTTTGCTACAGATTTTTCTTAAAAATATTTTCTTTGGTTTCAGTAAAGGCCATGCTAGCCAAAAATCTGTACTGAAGATCTGGATCAAGGTTAACAGCTCAGTGAACTAAACCCAAGTACTGTATCTGAAGACAGGAACATGAAAACTTATGAGAACTGTAGGTCAGTGAATGCAGCTCTATACTATTGCAAACAACCACGGTACATGATCTGCTTCAGAAACAAATCAAGTTCTTTCTGTTCCTGTGAATCTGACTGGAAGGCTGCATCAGCACCACACTATCAGATGCCTAATAACCTCTTCTCATTTTCAGTTTATTTTTCAGTTTATTCATTCCCACTTTAAATCTATTAGCTTCTTGGTCATTGCTGTCCTATAGAACCAGTTGCTTTACTCCCCTTAAAATGTTCATAGATCACAAACAAATCCGCTTCCTGCTTTTGTTCTCCTAAGCTAAATTAACAATTTATTCTCATTTCCTCTCATTCCTTTCATGAGTGCAAAAGCTTTTCTTCCTGAAGTTGCTCCAGTTTAAGTTAATCCATTTTAAACATATTTGACAAGAGAATACCAAATGACCTTCCGTCTGAGTCAGTGGTGATGCTTCTTCTGTCTGTATATTTACTCTCTGCATATATTTCTCTTATCTTTCTTTTTTTTTTTGGTGAGGTAGTTGCTACATCCTTTTCACAGATTATATGTTGCTCAGATGTAATGTAGGGAATTAAGAGAAAGCAGAATATAGCGTTGGTTTTGAGGTTCCAGCTTATAGGACTGGTTTATTTTCAACAATCATCAGTTTCGATTCATTACAGTTTGTAACCTATGTGGTTTGTTACAAAGAAGACCCAAAATCCAGATCTCAAAGTAAAACTTAGGAAAGACCACACACTCAGCTACCTTACTTCATATCAAACCATAAGAAATCATAAATATTCTCTCTTTAATTAAACAGATTTATAAAATGAAGATAAACACTTGAATTAAATAGTCCAAGAGTTTAATTTTTAATGAAAAATGAAAAGAGGTGAATTTCCTATTACTGTCAATTAACTGTACATTTCTTTTGCATAAAATAATCAGAGAGGGGCACCTTCTCTTTGCCTCCATATTGAACTCTTCTGGTATGCAGAGTGTTTAAAAACATAATCCAACCACAAATTTTGTAAATAGCACTTATTGTCATCATGCACTGGGAATAAACAGATGACTCAGTATCAAGCCCAGTAGAGTTATTTTTCTTCCTTTATGCAACCTTTTTTTTTAAAATTGTTTCTGTTAAGGAGTTTTTCACAAACTGTTTTAAACTTTTCTGTGGCAATGTATCATTATTTCTCAAGTACAACTGAATTCCTCATAGTTCTTTCCTGACAGCTCTTATGAACATTTCCTGATGTATGCAAAGCACATGCAGTAATAGACCTGATTAGATAAACAAATATAAATGTGCCCTTAAAATGAGAGGAGCAGGCCACATTATTTTTATTGCATTTCTTCCAAGA